CGCCAGAGGCTCGCCACCCGCCCGCGAGAGCCACAGTGGCAGGGTCCCTAACGCGTGTCACGCAGGCTCCTCTCTCAATGCAATCATTATGCCCACTGGCATGCAGCGCGCCTGAGCGCGGAGCCGCGGGGTGGCTGGTGCTAGCTCAGCCTAGCCCCCCGCCGCCCCCGCTTGTCCGCGAGTTGCACATGTATTCTCCCGAATACTGGCGAGACCCTGTAGGACAGGTGAGGTTTGTGTTTATTTTTGCGGGGATTCCCCCCTCGCGATCTACGTTATCAGGGTTTCACTCACTGACCAGCGGCTAATTATCGGGAAAGGGCCCTGCCCCATCTCCTTCACTCACTGACCAGCGGCTAATTATCTGGCCAGATCGCCAAGGGAATAATTAAACGGAATGATTTTAGTGCGCCCTTCAGCAGTGAGGAGGGATGTTGCCACACTCCAGTCCCTTCAATTACACGGCAGCCCACATGTATTTACTGCATGTAATAATTAAACAGGGGATCGGAATGTGATTGGAGCCTCTTTGTTTCCCTTATCTCAACACAATTTGTCTTCATCCCTCCACTCCTCTCCCCAACCCTCTCCCACCTCCTAGCCCCCCGCTTTTTAATTCTGGCAACTGCTTAGGGCCGAATTCCATCCAGAAAAGTTTCGAACCACTTCAGAGGGATCCTGAGACCTCCGAGGTCCGCACTGTTTGTTTTAGCTAATAAAAATGTATATGCACTAGCTTCTCTCCCTGGAAACGCAGACACTGAAGCTGGGGAGGGAGGGAAACATCCCTAGCTGCTCCAGAGTGGTGCATTTTATTAGACACTAAGCCCAAAAATGATCTTCTGACCGCCCTGTGGGCCTTTTGAACGCCACCCCCGCTTAAAAACATACCAACTTTTTCATATGCAAAAAGTAGGTTGCTTTTCTCCCTTGCCCATTCATGCCTTATTTAATTAGACTTGGTAAATGTATCTACAACCGAGTGGCTATAAATTATTTATGCCTCTCTGGCTGGGTTGGGAAACAAACTCAGGGGAGATATGTTCTGCTTCAAAACATTTAAAAAAATCCCCTGAAAACTGTAATGCGAAGGCTTTGTAGTTTTTTTTCAAACCCCTTTTGATTTATTCCATATGTGACATCTGAACACAGCCAAAGCCTGTCTCCGTGTGAGCGTGCTTCAAAACAGAGACACCCAGCCCTCACCACGCTACAGCCAAGGGGAGAAAAGTTGTGTTTCCAGCAAGGGGACAGAGTCCTGGCACTAGCGAGGCAAGCCTGCTGCTGACTCGTGTAACGGGAAAAGGCCAGCTCCTTCCCTGCTTCCTTGCTTGCTTTCAAAGGCAAAGGGTTAGCATGTACCGCTGAGAAAATTAACTTTTGTGGGTCTTACCTGCTTCTCCTAGCGCTCCGGGTCCAGGCAGGCACAGCGCTAGCAATCCCCAGACAAGAGGCAATGGATCCATTTTAGGGGAACGAGGGGGCGTCCCTCCCCCCCGGCTCGCTCGGGGCTTTCCTCGGAAAGCGGGACTGCACCCCGCGCCGTAGAATTTCCTCGGCAAATGTTCCTAGTTGCCTTTCGCTCCTTCCCTTCCTCCGTGCCGTGGCGCCCTGCCTTCCCCCGCCGCCGGCGGGAACCCCCTCGCCGAGACCCGGGAGCTCGGGCAGTGCGAGGCTGCTGCCCCGACCGAAAAGCACCCGGCTGGGGCGGG